AGGGCCTGCTGGGCAGCGGCAGCTGGGAGCCCTCTGGTGTCGGGCCTGGGGAATAGCCGGGCTTGGCTCGGCAGCCCGGACGGCTGTGCAGGCCACAGGCTCGAGCCGCTGACTCCTCCCCTGGTGCCTCTCTGTCCCGCAGGCCAGCCTCCCCCGCGCCAGCGACTCAGCTGTGCTGGTGCTGCCGCCTTCCCCGGGTCGGCGTTCCTCCAGCCCCAGGCTCAGGTAGCAGTGGGCCCTGGAGGGTGGGGTGGAATCCGGGAGGGCCTGGGAGGTTAGGAGCCAGACAGGCTGTCCAGAGAGGAGGGATGGGGGCGGCGGGGAGTGGGGGGGTCCCGGCTGCTTTAAGCCCAGTTGGCTCTCCTCTGAATCCCCCCAGAATCCTTTCCCCTAGGGCACTCTTTCCCTGCACCCATGCTGGTCCGCATACCCAGGAGGGACCCTCACTCCTGGCTGCCTCCTGTCCCCGCAGTGTGGACTCAGAAGGGGGAAGCCGCCTTCTGGAAGAGGACTCAGAAGTCTACAAGATGCTGCAGGAGAATCGTGAGGCACGGGTCGCCCCCCGGCAATCCAGCTCCTTTCGGCTCTTGCAGGAAGCCCTGGAGGCTGAGGAGAGAGGTGAGCCCCTGGGGGGTTTGAGTGTAGGAAGTAGGTTATGGCAGGACACCCCTGACTGGACGTGATATTGAACTGGTATTTCTTAAGTGCTCATCACAGGAGTAGGCACCAAGGGGAAGTCCCTGCACTAAAGGAGCTTTCAATCTGGTAGGAGTTACAGGGGTACACCCAGAGGTGCTGGCTGGGATCAGGAAAGTGTCAAGGGAATGATAAAGGTGGGGGGTAGGGCCCGTGGGGGCTGGGTCCCCAGGGAGGGCTTCATGGAGGAAGATGAATTTGACTCGACCCTTGAAGAAAGATCAAGACTTTAACAAAAAGCCTTAAGATGGTGGCAGGGAGTTCGAGCCTCAGAGAGGGCACTGGGGAGGGGGTTGAGGGGGGGAGATGGTGGCGGGGAGCACCGTGGCCTGCGGTGGCTGGCACCTGGAGGGCTTTGGTGTGGGAGCAAGAGAGTAGCGGGGCCTGGTCTTGGAGGTTGAGTCCTAGCTGTGGGGTCTCATGTGCCAGGCGGAGGAGTGCCCTAACCCCGGAGGGCCCGTTAAATAATGCCAGGCCGATGCTGGAGTGAGCAAGAAGAGAGATACGGGCTCTCGCGAGCCATTCAGTTGTTCAGTCGCCAGACATTTCCTGTGCTTGTCTGATGGGCTGTGGTGTGCCGAGTGTGGGGGCCGAGGGCAGTCCGGCACCTGTCGGCCCTTGAGGAACTGTTGATCGGGGCGGCCAGGCCTGCACAGCTGCCCCGGTGGTGGTCGGGGTGCAGTGGTGCTGTGTGTGTGTGTTGGGGGCACTGCCTAGTGCAGGGGAGGGGCGAGGAGGCCTGGCCTGGCAGTGGTCTCAGGGAGGCAGACGATGGGACAGGCGGGAGCACTGGGTCAGCTGCCTCACCAGTACAATACCTGGTGGCCGGTTTCAACTCTGACATCAGCTCCTGGGGTGTTCACTGGGGTCAGGGGGCAGGGAGCAAATCCTGTCCCTCGTGACCCCGCGGCCTTGGTGGGCCCTCCGGACAGGGCCCAGGGAGAGGCGGTGGGGTGCGGGGAGCGCAGACAGCCCGTGACTTCACCGCTGGAGCCTTGGAGTCCTTGGCTGCCCGGTAACAGCGGTGTCGTTCCGAGGCTCACATGCAACAGTGCCCAGAAAAGCCCTTTGAAAACCGAGTAAAGGTATTGCGGGGCTGCTATTATCTATCATTGCCGTCTTCTAATTAATGTCATCTTGACTGGATCCCGAGGGGAAACGCCTGCTTGGTGGGGTGTGTGGACACAGCACAGACACTCCTCGGCTGCCGCAGCGTGGGCTACCTCGGCCTCGGCCAAGGAGCGGCCGCCATCACTCCCTTCGGCCCTTACCACCTGCCTCACACCCGGTGGCCCCTTAGAGGTCGTGTGCAAGCGCGCCTTTCGGGGGTCTCCTCAGAGCTGTGCTGGAGGAGTGAGCGTGGCCTGCCCGGCTGCCGCCCCCGGCCCCGCGCTCCAGTGTGTCTGTCTGCCCCACCCCTCCCAGGTGGCACGCCTGCCTTCCTGCCCAGTCAGCTGAGCCCCCAGTCCGCCCTGCCCACCTCCAGGGCCCCGGCCACCCCGCCCAAGCTCCACACGT